TCAGTAAGCACTACAATGCTTTCATATGCAAAATATCTAATTTTTTATCAAGTCTTAAGGTTTGTAAAGTAATGTTTCTCTCATGCCTTTTTCTTTTCACATCTTGCCTTGCAAAGTAATTTTCATTTTAAGATTAAAAATACTTTTATGCATCAGAAAATTTTGAAATTTCACATGCAAAATCTTTATAATGTCCAAATAGTTATCAAATGTTTCTTAAGAAAAACTTTATATTTTATCTATTATTTTCAGTAATTAATCTCTGTACGGGTTCGGTAGATTTGACCGATCTCGCAACCACCATAAAAAATTAGGAAATAAATATAAATTAATCCTCTTTCATTCTAGAATGAACAAAATTATAACATAAAAACATAAATGTTTAGACTAAATAGCTTAAATCTCTTAACATGATACATTTATAATTTTTTTTAAATTGACCTTTCAGCCGTGCCTGGTTAACAACAGAGAAGTTACAATGATGCAGCACACGTGCACTCATGTTACCATATCAAATAACATAAGACTGACCTTCGGTCTGTACAAAGTAACTTGTCTTGGCTTTGTTTTAGTAGACTAGTATTTTGTAAAATACAATCACATTTCAATTATTATACATTATATATATATGTATATAGATTATTGCTATTTTGAAATAAGTTCTTAAATTTATTTTTCTTAAAACATAGAACAGTAACTAAAAAAGTAAAGCAAACAATTATCTCTTCTAGTTACGACCTTTGTACTCGGTTGCTGCTTGACGTAGGTTGCTTAACCTTTAAAAATTTGCACGTGGAGGATATGAAACAACTAAGATATTGTTCATGTAATAAATCAAACACAGTGGCACCCCGTCCACCTCTTTTTATTTTTGGAAACATTCCCTTATATATATATATATATACACACTTACTTCTATATGTGACATGAATAACCAATCGGAAGCTCAGAATGTCCCCTAGTTGCTTTCTCAGCCATTTTAATGGGCTTGGCACCATTTCTTTCTTTTGAACCAATATTTCAACAAGGTATGGTGTGTCTTTAGTCTGCTCAAAATTTCATATTTTTTTAGACTAAAATACATCTTAGTTACTAAGCTTGATAAATTATAGTGGAATTCTATGGTATTAATGAAGTAATTTATGATTTTTTAGTTATTCAAACGTATATATAAAACGTAAAAAGAATTATTAAAACATGTTATCACAGGTATCGAAATCCGGATTTTAGCGTTATTATCTTTTTTATATAATCTAGATAAAATTATAGTCAAGAATTTAGAAATAGTTAAAATAAAAGAGGAAAATTGACTTGTTTTCAATTATACATAAGATTAAAAACAGAGTAAAATTTCATTAACCCTTTCGAGACAGGTCACAGGTGAAAGGCCATGTCATCTTGTTTGTTGACTCGCATTCAAAATTTTTATTGAACTACTATTTCATGAATTTATGTCAATAACTTTGGTATCAAACTGTAGATTATAATTCAAATTTTAGTACTATGTGTTATCCAATTTCTTACTTTAAAACCAAATATTAAAAAAAAACAGATAAACATCGATTTTTGTTTGTCACGTGGTATGTTGAATGCAGCACTGGTTCAAATTAGATGTTTGTGAAGTCAAAATACTAAGTGTATAGTTTCGTACGAATTAGAAACTCAAATTACTAATATTGACAAGCTAGAGTATAAAATATGAACGTCTTATCTTTTCTGTTTAAATTACCTCAAACACAATCTCACCTCACATCCTGAAGACTTTATAGCTGCAAGTGCTCCCTGACCCTCTCGAAATGTCACCCATAAAGTCTCTTCAACATACCTACAACAATTGGAAAAACAGATATGAAGCAAATATTAAAGAACCAAACAGCATTCTGAAATAAGGTAAAGCATAAGGTAAGAATAAAGTTATACAACAAACTAAAGGATATTTGCATTTCTTCACTAGTCCTGCAAAATAATTTTTATGTTTTGGTATAATGATAAATAATACCTAAATACTGGTTTGCCTTCATTTCTAAAAGATATTCTTGTTCTTTCTGTTGCTCACAAATAGACACACATATATTTATTCCATTACTCAATCAGTTTTATGTCTTACAGCATTAGTTCATTAGCCTACAGCTACATGACACAAACCGCTGTATGCACTGTAATACTACAGAACAGATTGTATTTATTAATATAAATTGAAATCATTTCCAAAGTTTTTGAAACATCTTGTGCATTTAAACTACTCTTCCTAAGAAACTTAAAACTATTTTTACAATAGTTGCCAGTCATAGATCTAATGAAAAGGCTTAACACAAACATGCCAAACATGTGAATATAAACTGCCCCCAAAAATAAACATTTCTAAAGCTTCTTACCTTATCAAAATTACTTCTCCTGCAGAATTAAACAAAAGTAACAGATTACTTAAGAAGTCATCATCAAATATATGACAACTTTCTCCTGACACTTCCTCTTCCAGTTGAACTATAACTGTTCCATCAGGAGGTCCCATTGTGCCAATGACATCTTGAAATACCTCGTCTCTCCTCTCTTCATTTACTTGTAGCACCTCAATGTCAATTTCAGCAATCACAGCCCTGAAAATATTTTCAACCAAAGATAAACAAATTTATTAATTTACTTTCTGTAGTAAGATTACATAGTTTGAATGAGATTAATGAAAAAAAAAATGTGGTAAGCTAGCAGTGCACAAAACATAAAAGAACCAAATTAAGAGATTAACAGTAAGTTTGTAGAATTTGATATGAAGACTTTTACTCATCAATAATAATTTACATATTTTCTTTGTTTTTACAAAGACTTGTATTTTTGTTCAACACAGTTTGATATAAAAGAAGCATGAAAAAAGATATTTATCATTCAACAATTTAAAAAATATGTAACTGATGCAGTTACTTTAAATATTGGCACTTTTAGTTCCACCAAGGATCTTAACTCTACCATTATGAGTTATAGCATTCTTGACATCACTATAAAACATAATTAACAACCAGGTCAATATACAAAATTTCTCAGCATACAATATGCTGCCAAAGATAGGAGAATTTAAAAAGTTTCAACTATGAATCATACTTAATAATTTTTATTTCTTGTTTATTTCATCTATTTGTCGTTGTTATGAATAACAAGTCTTGTTCTTCCAGACATTTCTTATTTTATTATAATCTATATTTTATAATTTCCATTTTTTTGTTTATTCCATTATTAAACTTCTATGCAAATTTCATGTCACATACAATAGAAGTGTAGTGCTCTTATGGCTTATATTTCATGGTATTTTATATGATTGTTTGAAATGACATGTATGATAAAATATTGTTTGTTTGTGAAAACTTAGGCTCTAGAGTCACTGTTGACCAGTGAATGACTCATACTGTTTCAAGACCTTGCAAAAGTGTGAAATAACCCTAGGGTATTGCAGTACCTGCAGCTCACAGTTGTGGCATGACTATAGAATATAATCCCTTGACAACCTGCATTGCACTGTGCCCACTAGACTTTCAATAATACATATACATTATTGAGAAACACTGCTACCCCCATCCCCAAGACTCTGTAATAAATAAATACAAGTTAACCTTGGTTGTTTACATGAATTAATTTATAAGTGTTTGTTTTTCAATCATTTCTCAGAATAAAATATTTTGTATATGTATGGACCTCTACACAATATCCCAGCTTATTTTTCCAACTTCCTGATGGATATTAGATCATTATCATTAGTGACAGACAATTACGAGTGGTTTGTGATTTATATAAATACAAATACTAACCACACAATAATGAAATAACAGTCAAATCTTGTGCAAGCACACATAGTGACACTATATACCAGAAACAAGTCCCAACAAAGACAGTGACACTATGTACCAGAACCAAGTCCTAACAAGAACAGTGACATTAGGTACTAGAACCAAGTCACTAACAAAGACAATGACATTATGTACCAGAACCAAGTCACCAACAAAGACAGTGACACTATGCACCAGAACCAAGTCACCAACAAAAACAGTAACATTATGTACCAGAACCAAGTCACCAACAAAAACAGTAACATTATGTACCAGAACCAAGTCCTAACAAGGACAGTGACACTAGGTACTAGAACCAAGTCACTAACAAAGACAGTGACACTAGGTACTAGAACCAAGTCACTAACAAAGACAGTGGCACTATGTACCAGAACCAAGTCACCAACAAAGACAGAAACATTATGTACCAGAACCAAGTCACCAACAAAGACAGTGATACTATGTACCAGAACCAAGTCACCAACAAAGACAGTGATACTATGTATCAGAAACGAGTCACCAACAAAGACAGTGACATTAGGTACTAGAACCAAGTCACTAACAAAGACAATGACATTATGTACCAGAACCAAGTCATGTCACTGTCTTTGTTTGTGACTTGGTTCTGGTACATAATGTCACTGTATTTGTTGGTGACTTGGTTCTTGTACATAGTGTCACTGTCTTTGTTGGTGACTCGTTTCTGATACATAGTATCACTGTTTTTATTGGTGACTTGGTTCTGGTACATAGTGTCACTGTCTTTGTTACTGTCTTTGTTGGTGACTTGGTTCTGGTACATAGTGACTGTTCTTGTTAGAACTTGGTTCTGGTACATAGTGTCCCACTGTCTTTGTTCGTGACTTGGTTCTAGTACCTAGTGTCACTGTCTTTGTTGGTGACTTGGTTCTGGTACATAGTGGACACTATACACCAGAACCAAGTCACAAACAAAGACAGTGGCACTATGTACAAGAACCAAGTCACCAACAAAGACAGTGACACTATGTACCAGAACAAGTCACTAAAAACGACAATGGCATATGTACCAGAACCAAATCACTAACAAAAACAGTGACACCAAATCCCAGAACCAATCCCAACAAGGACAGTGACACTATATACCAGAAACAAGTCACAATCAAAAAGAGTGACACCAAATCCCAGAAAGTTTGGGGAATTATATGATCCTTATATACATGGTAAAGCCTAAAACCTAAACATAAGAATGCAAATAATGAAGCATTTTACCTGTGATCTGAAGTCTTAAGTTCTGCCCTTCCATAATGTACAATGTTCCCAGGATTCCAGAATGGGTCATCTGGAAATGAAAGTTTTATATATGATTTAGTGTTATATTAAATTAACAAGAATAGTATGAATTTATAGAACTGTTTCAAAATGAACTGGAAAAATAATAAAAAATCAATACAACCATATTTATGAATTTACATTGTTTTCAAGGTAATAGAAGGGGACTACTACTTTAAGAAAATAAAACTACTTTATGAACAGATAATAAATAACTCAGCTAGGCCTTTAATGACTACTATGAAAACAAATGAAGAACACTTCTAGTACCAAAGTAATTCTTACATCAATGGTCTTACAAAATGTCAAATGGGTAGAAACAAAATCCACGAAATAAACATTCACTTGCTGCAAACTTTTAACATCTTTGATGTTAAACTTGTTCTTTATATTTAACTTGAAAATCCTTGTAGTTGAAAGTTTACCTCCATTAGTTGAACGATTCTTTAACACCAAAAGTTTTATCCATGATTTTACTTTTGTCTTATACATACAGTTTCAACAATCCTTTAACACTCAACGTTTTTAACCAATCAAGTTATTTCTGTTACACACATAGATTCCTGAAAACTTTAACATCCACATTTTTACTTTTTTTTTATGAAAAATATATGCAAGAAAAGTAATGAAATATACATTTTTTTCTTAAAATTAACATTAGTTAACTAACATCATCTGGGATGGTAGTAATTGGCAGATACAAATACTGAATTTGTACTTATAAAAAGAAATAAGAGTTGAAAGTAAATACTTATTGTAAGAAAATGAAGACAAATGAAAAATTGTCGATACAGGTGTACAGTCCACTCACAAGTATCTAGACACAAAGTCCCATGGAAGGTTGAGGTGATAACAGTTCTATAATAGTGTTTCATCATCCGTTGTAAAACTAGCTGCTGTTATTCTACAAGGTCCATGCTAAATCAGTTTATAAAAGATGCCTGGTGCAACTTGTCTCCACTGTTATTTGAAAATCTTGGCCAGATAATAACAACTATGGTCTGGTCGTTAAATTTAGGCTTCCTAGCTGGGGCTATGTAATCTGGGGGAGCATACCAAAATGTTGTTATTGGTAACTCTGAAACAAGACATGCTTTGTGGTAGAGACTGTTATCGTGATGGAACAAAAAATTGGCCTGCACATAAAATCAAACTCTGTTATGGCTGCTCAAGTGTGTTCATTGTATAAGATATTTTGAAATTCATGGGCAAACAAATGTACAAACACTTCACAGACTTGTCCCACAACCAATACACAAAATACAGCCAACAAAATTAGACCACAGCTGACACACCACGACATTTGTCAAATAATTCACCTGTCTGCTTCCAGACCCAAAGTCTGTTATTGCTCCAAAACTGTATGAAGTGCACCTCCTCATTCCAGAAAATGTTTAATTAATTATCAAGGTTTTAGTGGTGATAGGCTTCATACTAAAATTAAACAAAATGGTGGAGATTACCTTGGGGGCAGTGTGTACTAGGAGAGTAGCCAGGGTGGAAAGGTTTAAACAAACACCCCAATATTCTAAAAAGTCTAACTTGTCCATTATCATTGGTTTTGTTTTGCTTCTTTAAAAAACACTCAACTTCCATGGAAATTATTTAAATTTTTTGTGTAGACAAAAAGGTCCACATATTTTTGGAAAAAGACCTCCCCGTGTAATCCTGGCTACTACTCCCCTAAATTGTATAACTCAAGCCATGTAAAGCTCTCTGAATTTCATGAAATCATACTCTTTCAAGAACCTAAACTCTCAGGTCCTACGTAGTTCAGTCTTACTGGCTTTAACTTTACATCACATGCTGATTTGGAGGTTGGGATGGCCATCACTATGAACGTTACAAAAGTTCTCAGTGGAAAAATCACCACTGTAAGCTACAAACCATACAGATAGCTCAACCAAAGTTACCCCACACAAATCCAATGAAAGGTAATACAGCACGTTATGGTGTAGACTGAAAGTTTCTATTCGACACTTGTTTGTCTCTATTGGGAGGATATTTCAATGCCAGGCATCCAACTTTGGATGCAGGTGAAAGCACTAATGGAAAAGGTTTACATTCTTCTCCCCACAGTACAGCCATCAACTTTATACTTCTAAAATTGATTGAACCAACAAGAACTGCTGAGAACCAAGATGACATCACTGAACCACTGCTTTCTCACTCCAGCTCAGTAACAACCTCGCACATGTTAACCAAGCAAGGGAATGCCTACAATGTGCATTAAGAAAGAGTAATGGGTGAAGAAGTGCTAAACAGCCACCAATGAAATAATCTTTCACCAGCAGTTCTCAGCTATCCATGCAGAATACTGTTTACGAGTTACAATGCACCAAACTGTAAAATTTTCTTTATAATCACTCTTCATATGTATTTACTTTAATAGTTTCCCTAACAGATGTACAATTAAAATTGCAGATACTGAGCAAGTGGTAATTTTAAGCCATTTTTCATCAGTTCTCAGTAATGTAGTCTTCTTGTGAATAAGCATATTCTCTCGAGAAGTTGTCTCATTTTTATGAACAAGTAGCCTCTACATTAACCTAACATTTATATAGTATTTTAACACAAGTATAAATGATGAAGATATGATTTAACAAAACCCACCAGTTTCTCTGACAAATCTCCGCTTTCTAAATAGCACTCTGTCTGTCCATGCTGGTATACGATTTTTTTCGCTTGTATCATAATCATCAGAAAATATATCATACTTGTAAGTAGGGGGAAAGTCTATGTCACCTTCTATAAAATGCTTAAAAATCTGAAAATTAATGAATAAATTTTATCATTAAAACATTATGTTATAGAAAATTTTCTTCTTTATTCATAAATAAATCAGTAATAAGTTTCATTTCTAGAACAACAACAAAAAATACTGCAACTGAATCCGAAGAGATTTTAATTTAAAAAATAAAATTGCATAATTAAACAGATTTTATTTTTAAACATTTATATCTGTTGAAAAAAAAACATCCTAAAACAATTCTAAAAATAAGACATTTTGGTGACAATAACTGTTTAACTCTCTTGCTATGGGCTCAGTCAATTCAACTGAGTTTGTAATCCCAAATTGACCTTT